TTCTTGATAAACAGACTGCCTGAATTCAGTTCTCAGGAATATAACATGTGTAAGTATAAGAAGAGATGAAACTTCCTTCCATTTAAAATCTCTAGTTATCTCTGACTGAGAAATCTGGATGCTGCTTATTAGCAAGGAGAAGCAAATCCAATAATTCTCAAGGCATTTGGCATTCAGAGGAGTGATCAGTATCTGATGATGGCTGTGGAGCAGCTGTTCCTATAAGCATCTTCGTCCCTTACAAGAAGAAGTGGAGATCTGTAGCCTTCCTCAGTGCTGCTGTGTGCACCATACTCTTTCTGATGTTGTGTGACAAAAGCTCTTTCCCCTACCTTCAGGCTTCTTACTGTAACCATTTTGACTTGGTGAATGTTTGTTACAAGCTACTTGCTAGTCTTCTAGATAGTATAGAGAAAGACAGTGCAGAAGTGATGGCTTGTAATAGTATTAAATGTAAATAGTATTAAGGATGTGTATGTTGTAGAGGTCTGAAGGAGGATATTTCCAAGTTTGGGTTTCCTTTAAAGATGTAAAGTAAATCTCATCAAACAGAAGTCTCTAATGTGTTTGAGGGAACAGTGATTTCACCTTCCTTTACTCCTAAACTATGTTGCTATAAACTTGAACAGTTTATAAAGGGAGTAGAGTCAATTATAGAAAACTTGAAAATTTGATGATAGCACCTGACCTTTCCTAAGAAGGAATGTTTGGTCTAGAGTAGAAAAAAATACATCTAGTCATTCACCAGCGTACAGTAGAGGTGATATTACAAGCAATTCAGCTAGTGAGTTGATAGTATGTTCTCTAATGAGTTGATAGTATGTTCTCTAATGAGTTGATAGTATGTTCTCTAATACTAAAACTAATGGATAGAAACTAGATATTGAAATTTCCTGGTTTTATTCCCATCAGTAGTAAGAAAAAAACATTATTTTTTCCAAGCTACCTAAGGTCGGTTACATGACTACTTTGTAGGAGCTTACATTCTTTGGGGAAAATATAAGTGTGAGCCTGAATTACATTCTATTGTAATTAATTCTATTGTTGTAAGGTATTTAAAATACAGTGAATGTCAGCTAAGAATATTTTAATTATTATTCTGATCTTTGAACATTGTTATGAAGTAAATATACAGGTTTATTTGCAATGCATTGGTGTTGTTTTAAATTGAAATTACTTTATATAGTTGCTGAAATGCTGAAACAGTATTCTTTAAGTAGAAGCATGAATTGAGTTAAAGCTGTTGACATGCATAATCTTTTACTACCTCTGTTTAGACTTATTTTTTTTTTAGAAAAAGATTTAGAGGGGCTTTCAAATCAAGCAGCTCAGAAAACTCTTAGTTAGACACAGCTTAAAATTTAAGACAAATAGAAAATTTTCTCATTTTACAGTAGAAATGGTTCTTTGGCAAGCCTGGATCTCTAGTACTTGCTTCATAAGCACTGACAATCTAAAAATTGTGACTGAATTATGCAGATGAGTTAGTCCATTTTCATATTTTTCAGAAGTTTTTTTTCTTCTATTTCACTGCAATTACAAAAGTAAATTGCACTTTGATATTCTTGTGAACACAACTTTCGATTCATGATGAAATTCCTTTGCTTAGCAGACTTTACTGACAGTAGTTAATACAAAGTTAATTGAAGCACTAAATGTTTTAGTCGTGACTATTTTCAGTAGGGCTGTTCTCAGACTTCTATTTTTGTTTTTTTTAAACTTAGTGCTCATGTTTTCAGAGCTTGGAGGAATCCTACATTTTTTTTTCAGGTCTGGAAGAGGACGAAAGTTAAGTGGAGACCAAATAACTTTGCCAACCACAGTGGATTATTCATCCGTTCCTAAGCAGGTAATTGTTAAAGTGGTAGGTGACTTAATCCCTTAACAGGGTGATTATACAAGTCCTACAATATTGAATTGGTATATATTCAATATATATAAAAAGACAAGTTTTTACCTGTAGATAATATTATCATATTCTTATATTCAGCCTGAAGTAGAAGACTGGTCTTCATGGGATGAAGATGCACCTACAAGTGTGAAGATTGAAGGTGGCAATGGTAATGTGGCTGCTCAGCAAAATTCTTTGGAACAAATGGAACCTGATTATTTCAAAGATATGACACCAACTATAAGAAAAACTCAAAAAGTTAGTATTACACTTTCAACTATACTTATGGAGGGTTTTCTTTGCTTTAAAATAAAAGCAAGTAAATTGTCGACTTACAGAAGGTGCTGTTGGTAAATGAGAATAGATGCTGGTGCATAGTTTATTATGTTCAATGTTTAGATCTTAGCAACTGTTCTGGGAAAAGCACTTTTTCAGCCAAACCAGGACAATGACAGTGACAGAGAATTTGCAGCTA